ACACAGCACAAAGTTATGTAGACATTTGCCAAATGCACTCACTCAAAGAACTAAGATTAAATAAAATAAAATGAGACTACTAATGTTTCAGAAATTAGAACATGCTTTATGGCCAAAAGAAAATCATGTTCTGTTGTACTGCACCTATATGAGCCCATAACTGTGTGTAAAAGAGAGGAATCTCTCCGAAAGAGGTCAGTTTGGGATGTACTACAGCTATCGACTGCTGCTGAGGAAATCCCTTCTCTCCTCTTCGCACAGAGGAAAGGCACCAAAGTCTAATGCATGCTAATCAGGGGCTGAGAAGATAATAAGAGATGTTGCAGTCCATATGCCAATATTCAAGATTTGACTCTTTCATGCACAGATGGTCCTCTCGCATTTATATGCATCGATGCACACTTGCATTCACTGATTTTGCATGTAATTTTCCGTTCTTGAAAGCAGCACATATAACCAGTAGAGAGAAAAGATCCTAGTTATACAACATACATGAATAAATAAATGTGTTTTTACAAATGGGTGCATGAGTGATTCAATATTTGTACTTTTTCATAGCTAGGATATTGACACAAGGTGAAAAATGATCAGCTGTGCACAGTCTAACTTTCTAGTGACTTTAAGATAACCTGGTCTTTGTTATTTATAGCAACAAATGTAACTTTATCACCTTGGTATTTATCTCATGCAGGATTTCATAGAAAACAAAGTTGTCACAGTAAGGTGTAAAGAGTCAACATTTCCTGTAGTAGTCATAAATTTTTAAGCATGTAGCCATGGTTAAGTGATTTGACACTAATCGCATGTAAGCAGTATTGCAAGCACTGTCCAGAGTGCTGATCAGACTTTATCCTCTTGAAGTGACACCAAAGCTGTCCAAGGTGCTGACTGAAAGAGTCAAGTGTTCTGAGACAGACGACATTGGAACTATCCATCTGCCCTTTTTGTCCATTCCTTCACTTCTTAAAGTATAAACTATTTAGTTAAAACTCCCAGATGAGTTGGTACTGTATATGCTTGGTCTCAAAGCCTGAACATTGTATTTTCTTAAACAGTGAAAGGTCGACTTTTAAGAATATAAATGACTTCAAATAAATACTTAAATATCTAAAGTGGTAAAATGTAATATATACATAAAACAGAGACATGGGACACATTTCTGAAAAATAAATTGTTGTATTTTGCTACTAAGCATTGCCTCACATATTCTAAGTTGACAGGATATTTATTTTGTTGCGGAGTATTGCCACACTGTGGTATTGCTACTTTTACGTCAGTTAAGGACCTGATGACTTATTTCACTACTATGGAGCAAAAACTACAGAACTGTACAAGTGTTGAGCTATCTCTTATTATAACTTGGAAAATTGGAAAAGGGTGTAGCAATATATTGAAATTTGTAAATAGAGCATCCATCCATCCGTTCATTCATTCATCCATCTGCTGTGGCATATCTGGCTTTAGGTTGCGGGGTGCAGCAGTCTAAGCAGAGTAACCCCAACCTCACTCTTTGGCTATTGTTTTAGATGTACAGCAATTGTTTTTAAGCATGCTATAGAAATAAATATGACTTGACCTCTTCCAGCTCTACCGGGGGATATTGAGGCATTTCTAAACCAATCGAGAGATTTAAACTCTCAGTGTGCCCTCCTCTCAGTAGGACATGCCCATAACACCTTACCTAGAAGGAGGTGGTTTGGACATCCAAATCAGATCTCCAAACCACCTCAACTGGCTCTTTTCAATGTGAAGAAATGGCGCAGGGCTGTCCAACTCCAGTCCTCGAGAGCTACTGCCCTGCACCTTTTAGATGCATCCTTGTTCCGATACACCTGAATCAAATGAATGGCTTGTTACCAGGCCTTTGCCAAAGCTGATGGCATGCTGAAGAGAAAATCCAATCATTTGATTCAGCTGTTTTGGAGTAGGGACTGAAGTTAGACACCCGTCGAATGGTGGGTGTGCTCCAAATGAATGAGCTCCTGATGCTATTTTACCATGCAATTGACATGATTGAATGCCTTCTGTAAGTCACAAGGCACATAAACTCGTGGGGCTAACTCTGATATACGCTTAAATATCCTCTCCAGTATCCTGGCATGAAGCTTCCCAGGTGGGCTGAGGAGTATGATCCCCCAATAGTTGGGGCACACTCTCTGGTTCCCTTTCTTGAATAAAGGAACCACTAGTTTTTGAGATGTGGTGGTCCTTGAAGGGTTCCACCAACCATTGTGGTGCCTCTTGAGGTCTGGCCTCTTGAGGTCACTCCCTATTGTTCCCAGACTTTCCTTCCATTACAGAAGGCAAATCAGTGGGGCCACTTTTGTGCTGCTGGCCATCAGATACTTTCCAGATGTTTTTACATGGTGGATCACAATCTGATGGAACTTTTCTGCTTTCATATTTCCATTAGTTTTGACAAGATCCCCAGCACCACTGGCTGAAATTCATCCCCAAAACACGACAAAGCCTCCACCGTGTTTTACTGATGGCTGTACAGTACATACTCACTGTTGTACCACTCTCCTGACCTCCACTGTACATACTGACAACAACTTGAACCAATTTTTTTTTTTAACTTGGATTCATCACTCCTCAAGTACCTCTGACTTTCAGTCCAGTTCTTGTGTAATTTGACATACCTCAGGCTTTTATCCCTGTTTCAAGTACGGAACTCATTATATTCTATTGGTTGCAATAAAAAAAATAAAACGTCAACAGTTAAAAGGTTCTAAAGATGTTTCTGAATTATAAACTATCTCAGTAAAATATGTGTAGCGTAACCTGTTTAGCATAACTCACTTGACCAGAGCTGTTTATTTTCTAGCTGTACTAGGACAAGAAGATGATTACATCAAAGTCCCCAAATTAATGTTTTTTAAAATACTGCAGCATAAAGATAGGTTAAATTGTTTTGGTACAAATGATCTGTAAGGTGTCTAGTATCAATGTCTATATTTGCAATTATTTAGCTTTGTTCAGTATAGCCATAGACTGACTGAACATTTTAATGGCAACAATAGTGACCAGAATAATGCTGTATATCTAGGCATGCTCAGAAAGGATCGTTCTTGCGCTTACTATCACAATCAATGAATGATAGTTGACAGCAAAACCCTGCTTTGAGGCACTATTTCTCATCCCAGTCACTTCACACTTATAGGTGCAAATCACCTCAGTGCAAACAGAAGGTCATTTACTCGGTGAAGCCAAAAAAGCAGAGATGAGAACCTGAAACCACTGAGCCCGACACCTTCCACCCCTTGGCTGCACCTAGAAATAAAAAAGCTCAAAACAGACTTTTTTATAGAATTTTCCCTTCCCTTTTTAATCGGTGACAAACAGAAGGCCTGGTGGAATTTAAAGCCCACTTAGAATCAAGCTAACTTATTGCTGGCAATGAAAGTCAAGCTCTTACTATGGTTTTACAGGGACCAGGTAACTGGACCAGATAAAAACAGTCCTGATACCCAATACCACCACAAGCATCCCCCGCAGGATACCCCAGTCCACATAACACATGTAGACTGGTTGAGCAATCTCCCATACACCCTCAAATATCATGACCAGGATGAAAACCACATTATTTATCCAGAATCCAAGATTCATCTAATGGTTGAACTCTCCTCTGAGGTATGCTGGCATAGACCTTACTGGTCAAGCTGAGTAGTGTGATCCCCTTATAGCTGCAATGCAGAAGAAACTTAGGGTGAAGCTCATCCACCCCTAGTGCCCTGCCACCCAAATGTTTTTTAACTACCTCCTGACCTGTCTCTTCACTGTCTCTCTTTCCACTACAAAAGGTGTGTCAGTGGGATTGAAGAGATTCTCGAAGTACTCCACTATCTGACTATATCCTCTGTTGAAGTTAGCAGCTCTCCATCTCCACTGAATAAAGTGTGAGTTGGAAGCTGCTTTTCTCCTTGTGTCACCTGACAGTTTGCTAGAATTACCTCAAGGCTGACTGAAAGTCATGCTCTGTGGCTTCAGTCTTTGCTTCTGCTACTGTTAGAACCACACTTTGCTTAGCATTCCAGTACTTGTCAGTTGCCTCCTAAACTATCCAGGCTTGACAGGACTCATCTCCTGTGTCCACTTTCTGGTTCTGGGCTCACTGCAGTCACAACAGACATCGACCAACTTATGATTGTAATCTGTACACCAATGGCAGTAGGGAAAATGGTCCATTCATACTTGTGAGGTCTTTCTGAAGTGCTTAACTTATAGCTAAAGAATATTTTTATCTACATAGCTGTGATTAAGACGTTGAAGATTACTTTAGCATACAAGATCACAATCTAGTTGACCAACCCCATGCAACCCAAAGGGAGAAAATTGTCATTATTTATTGACATCCTATTTAGTAGTGTGTGCTCAAATAGCTTTACAAACTGTAATACATCAACTTATATTAATACCCATACTAATATATTGTTCTTTTCACTCTTTGTTACTTTATTTCTGTTTTACACCTTTCTAAGTTCATAAATTAGAAAAATGATTTAAAATTGAATTTATGTTTTCAATGCAATAAATAAGCGAGGCAAGAATCAAAAAATATGCAAGCTTTTGTGGTAAGTGGGCTTATATCTTGAATTTACCCTCATTTGTACAGTTCTGTATATACATGCATTGCGAGGTTTGTGATGCATGTACGTATACATCATCACACCCATGTCATGCAAATTATGCTGAAATAGAAGAGACGGTAAACTGAAGTCTAAGTGACAGACAACTGAACCTCTAAATCCAATATGACAGTTGATGATAACGCCCTGATTGGTTTTCTCCTTTTTGATTTCCTTGTCAGTGATGTGAGTAGGCATTAGCTTTTCTGTAGGAAAGATATCAGGACCCCGCAGCTGTTATCCAAACCTGAATGGATGCATTCTAATCCAAAAGCAGAACAATCATCTTGGATTTAGTGTCACAGCAACATATCTCAGATATGTCATGAAATGGAAGTATTTTGTTTGTATAAGCCTAATGGGTATACTTACTGATGTATAGAGGTATCCTTCACTATTCATGGCGAGGTACAACCCTGTCTTTGCCCCCTGAATTGCCACAATCCGCAGCCCCACTGGAATTAAGTTGAACTGTGCTAAATTGGGAAATAAAGTCAGAGATAGAGGAAAGGAAGGAAAGGAAAAAGTCAGAAAATCAAACTGCAATACCATATCACAACACATTCTGCTATTCTGTATTCATATTTGCAGGGTGAATGGCTCCAGTGTCAGTGCTGCCTGCGGTTTCTCTCTTAAGCCCAAATGCAGTGACCTCTTACTTTATGTTTATGGAAACATAACACTCTGTCACCTTCACTGAGCTTTGTGCTGCCACTAAAACTGAACAATAATGGAAATGTTCTGCCATGCCAACTGCAGCTTAGAGTAAAGACAGCAACGCAGTGTTGGTAAAATATACTAGTAAGCTAGTTAACAGTTCACCAAGAAGTAATGTTACATTGAGAGTAAATAAAATGCCACATTCAGACTTCGGCTTTAAAAAAAGGCCCATGTCTGACTCTTGAAGGTCAAAAACAAAGAAATGATAAGAGAGCACTGCATAGTTTCTGCTCTGATGGCCAGATTTAGTTTGCGAAAGGTCAGGACGAACATTCACATCGTCTCAACGGTTGCAATATGTCACTGCTCTCTCTGGTTTATAAAGTGCATATAGTGACCTGCAGATCCAATCAGAATCTGTGATCCAAGCGTTTCTGCACGAGAGCCGAACACACTAAATTGCCAAAGTTTGACAGGCACTGCGACATGATGTGCTTCCTATTAAGAGACAAAAATAACAGTCCTAATTGAACCAATTTTGACAGGTGAGCTGACAAAATCCTAACTTTTTCCTCCACTCTTCAGCCATAGGCCCTTACAGCACAGCACGACACCTGCTGTTGTTCGGTTAAGTTCTTTACAGCATTAATTTTGCCAAAAAAATTACGAGCATTTCCATTTTCCAGTTTTAGATACATATATAAGTGGGTAGAAGCAATGCTGGAGGCTAGATTTGTAATAATTGTTAAAAACTTACAACATAAGCATGATATCTGTACACTGATACTCACAAAATGAGCTGCTTTCATCCCTTGTGCTGTCGACAGTGCCATCAGGCTGCATCTGCAGGTAGTATCCATGTTGGCTGTACAGCCGGGTAACGATGCCTTTCAGCTGTGGCTCTGCAAGGGAGGACCAGAAAGCAGCGTGGCATTAGACAGATGTGACATTTACTAATTTAATGGCCCTGAAAAAAATGAATGGTTAGTCAAATATGTCATTTTAAACAAAGGCACCAATGAGAAAAATTAAGAAGTGTATTATATGAAGCTAGAATGTGGTTTATGTGCGACGTAACCTTAATGATTTTCTGTTATGAACTAATTTAAAATGATCATGTATGCTGAAGGGCAACTGGGCATCAGCATTACACATTTATAAACTTTTATTGGCGGTGGAAGATCTCTAATATTATAATAGAAGAATATTTGTACAACCTTAAAGCAATTTGCAATAACATGTAAGAATATTACACAGCTATGTATTTTTTTGTACAAGACAGTGATTTCTCTGTAGGGAAACCAGTGGGTGATGTCATGCTGGTAACATCCATCTTTTTTATATACAGTGCATAGTTTGTTTCACTGTTCTTCTTTAGCCATGTGCCATGAGCAAATAAAGTAAAGTGAGATACTTCACAGTCTCCTTCTTGCTAAATAAACAATATATTCAAGGGGACTGGGTGCTAAATGTGACTGACTAGAGGAGCTGAATGTTTCATGAGCGGAGTCCCCACAGCCTACTCTGTGTCCATTTAACAAACTGAATCTCTGCAGCACCAGGCTCTTTGTTGTGATTTCTCTTTTGAGCTCAGCACCTTAATGTCGTGCTACTCCAACAACAAGGATAACCCTGCATTTCCCCTGATTTTGCTTGTAGCAGAGTGCTTTATTCAGTCAGGACTAGTGACCTGATCAGCCCCCTTCATTTCAGCTTTAATAAGGCAGATGAAAGATGGTTAAAGGAGCAGTTTATGATGGAGCCTCTGGAGGGCCATCTGGGAGTTCCCCTTCCACTATACTCCTCACATGCACTCGCACACACTCCTCTGGGAATGACCTGGGGCACTGCGCAATCTGCCCGTCTTCTTCACACTATAGCGCGAGGAGCCTGAGCGAGGCAGAGGATACAGGGATGAGATCTGTAGGACTATTTCCCAGAGGAAGTGTGCCAGGGCTGAAACATCAGTGAAACTGTGACCTACTCCCATTGTTACAGGCATGCACGTCCTTTTGTTTTCAAAGCCTCCTGTCAAAACATTTCTCTGTCTCCACTCTCTCACTTTCCTCTCCTTTTCCATTCCATACCCTCTGAGTTATATTTGCTTTCATCCCACCTAATAACATCATGCATCATCCAATCAGAGCAGGGAAGCCGTTCATTAGTTGTCCCCGCAGATTCAAAAGAGAGAGATGAGAGACAGAGAGAAAGAAAGGGAAATGGGAGGATCGGGGAGGACAGAAGCGAGCAGAGGGACAGCGAGGGAACAGTGAATGAGATGACACTGACATTTCATGAAGAGTGACGGCTGTATGTGCAGGAGAGGGGGAAAAAAAGCACATTTAGGCAGAAATTCAATAGACAGCTTGTGCAATATAGCTGCAATCAAAACTCCCATGCTTGGTGTCAGGCGCACTAAAACTAATGTTTCACTTAGCAGAGCTGGCTCTGACTCCACAGTCCTCACCACAGCACCAGCACACATTAGATTTTGATCCAGCATAATGAGAGCAGGCTCACAGGAAAGAACACGACAGCTGTATTTTACCACAGCTGCACTGAGGGTTCATTGTGGTCAGCGGATTGGTCACGTCGTGTGAAAACACTGATGTCACCACAGTCCCATCACCATTTATACTGGTGATCAAGGCACCAGATTGCTGAAATAGTCTCCTAAATGATATGTGTCAGAACTCGGGGGGGGGGGAGTGAAAGTTTTTCAAGGAAGTCTCCTATTTTCCAGCTGTTGCAACATCTTTCTCTTGTAATATGGGAATCTCAGAGCTTTTGCAATGGTGTGTCACTGAAATGTTGGCAGAAACCAGCTCAATCGTACTCTTGTATCTTCAAAGCGCAGTTTAAACCAAATGTCCCACCATTTCTGGCACACGTCACCATTTGTGAGGATGTGAGACGCTGACATAATGTGCCCTGCAGAAATGTAAGGATCTTTAGGTAAAAATTTGTTTGATCTTCGAAGATATTTCTGCTCTAGAATAAAAGACTGTAAAAAAAAGATGGATAAAGCCTCAGTGAAGCTAATATGGAAGTGACTTAAACTTCTATAGTAGCATGTTAGCTTATAACTTCCAGTTCTTTCCAATGGCCAGTATTTTAGCAGTTGCAAAAATTCAATTCAGGGTCACAAGAGGGCTGGAGCTTATCCCAACTAGCAAAGGGTGACAGGTGACAAATATTTGCACTCACATTTTAAATCTTATTGAATACAATAGTGCATAATAATACTGCTTCTTGCATCCTTTATGTACAGTGTATGTCTAAAACTCAGGCAGACAGACACTCACTCTCTGACTTTGGCCCAGAATATTTTTTTGTCATACTTTTAAAAGAATGAATTAATAAAGGAAGTAATCCATTGATTAATAATTAATTAGTCAAATTAGCTGCAGCCTTGAACTGATTAGTTGTTTTTTGGTTGGCTATTTTCAAGCTGAGGTAGTGCAGTTTCTTCTTTTCAATTCTTTTTACCAAAAGAAGATTAGTGGAGCAACTGAGGCCAAATCCGCACAACAAATGTCGACAGTGATGAGATATAGTCCTGTCTTTCGTGTCTGAATTCTTCCCGGTAATAAGAGGTCTCTGATTATGTGGGCTCGCAATATTAAGATTGATGAAATAGGGCTTTATGAAGAATTTCACTGGGTAGCTAATTCTTTATAGGGCACCAATGGCTTATGTAAAAAGGAATAAATATGTTTTCTATTGCCATATTGTAGTTGCTTGTTGTATTAATGGATTGGAGAGACAAATAAATAAGCTGGAAAAAGAGGATGTTTGTGCCAGGGATTAAAAAACAAAAAAAAGCAGACTTCATAAGGATAATGAAGACGAGGAGTTTGGCCAAACATTTAGATTTTCAGACCAACATGGTGAGAATGGCAAATAGGTTGTTGTGTTTACCGTCCAAAAAGAGGGGATAGTGTAATATATCACTGGGATTTAAAGCAAATTGGAATCTGAAGTCTTTTTAAACAGCAAACTGAATGAAATTCACAAAATCATGAGGAGAAGAAATCTGAGCAAACGGTAAAAGTAAGAACTTATTGTTTATTCAAGAAAGATTACAGATGTCACAAATGTTTTAAATATAATTTTTCTTATTTTGCTCATTAAAGATGGGGAATATTATCATTACATATTAAACGTGGAAGGGACAGGAAAATTCCCTTCATTTTATTTTGAAATTATTTATATTTTATTTATTTAAGTCCACATTCCTGATTTGGATAGGCTTTGATATTGAAGATTCATTTAAATGTATTTTTATTAATGTTTTTTTTTCATTTTATAAATATATCTTTCTAAATCATGTAAAGAGGACAACAGTAACATGTTAGACAAATTCTTCATATTACTCCATGCGGATTATGGACTTATATATATATATGGATTGTGTCAAATATGCACATGCAGCATTTACATCTTTGGTTAGAAAACCATAGTAAAATATTTCCTGGAACATTATTAGGAGGTCTCTGTTTATGTTTACGTTATTATACAACTCTGATATGCTGATGTTAGATCACGGTGGGAAACATGCTGTCATGTTTGGTCTGTTGTTGTTGGGTAATATGTCTGATTTCGGGAAGTACAGGTTATGTAAAAGACAAAAGTAAACATTTGTTCATTCATTCAGCTAAGAGTGAGCTTCTCTTTAGCCAGTTTTTAAAAGTAATAGCCATGTTGACCTGTTTAAATAAGCTAGCTGTGTTGTAAATGTAAAGAACATTTAACACTTTGTTAAAGAGTCAACTAGAAACACCTGAAAATCTTATTTTCTGCCCATTGTCCAGCATCACTACTGAGAGATTTTTGTTTCATTTAAATAGAACAATTTAGATTAAAGGCTTAAATTAAATAAATATCTTACTATAATGATTGTATCAAATTTACACGTGTCTGTTCCCTAACTCCTCCTAGACTTGTTAATCAATGGGAATGAAGAAAAATTAAAAATATATGTATTTATTATTAATTTATCTGGTGTGTATAAACAGCCATTTTTGCCATCTGACTTTATATTGCGATATAATGAAGAACAATAACATGAATAAATGAGCAGAATCTGTATCTGCAGAAAACTGAGTGACTTAACTAAACTGACTTCATTTTTTTAAAGTTACAAATGGTGCTTTACCCCCTAAACTAGTTTGTGTACATGCCACAGTATAGCAAGCGCACATTATTAGGCAAGCCAACTTCTCCTGCTTTTATAAGCCCTGGAGGAGCATTCTGATAGATAGTGACACAGTCTGACAGCAGTCTACCTCTGGATTAGCAAAGCACACAGAGTTGTTTACATGAGCAAAAAGCCAGTGTTTGTATCATGAGCATGCTTAGTGTGCACACTGAGTATCTACTTCTGCTCCACAGGGGTAAACAGAGAAGATGATAACTTGGAGAGCTACTGGATCAAAGGTCATGTGTACTGATTTTGGCATAACAGGGCATACTTGCTCTAAAACAGTAAAAGCATATTTGATCTATTGCAGGGGACAAAACAGTGACCATTTTATGGTCCTCTAAGTCAAAGTACTGCATAATGGAGTGATAGAAAGCACACAGGTGCAAAATTAAAACTTGGGGTTGCCATTTCCACTGTTTCTCAGTTCTGTTTAGCTGTATTCAAAACAAATATTCTAGCTCAGAGTGTAAAAAATAAGGCCCAGGGGATCACAGACAGACCAAAGACTGCAATTTGGCCCAATATGGATTTTAATTGTATTTTCATAAGTTTTGCAGCTTTTCCTGCTGATAAAGAGCTCCACCATGCCCATTCATACAACAACAAAGTAAATACGTAATAGATAAACACAAAGTTTCTATTTTCTCTGTCTATTATGGAAATGTATGCTTTCTACAAATGGATTTACAGTAAGAA